TTGGTTTTGGTTTTCCGAGACAGGGTTTCTCTGTATTGCTTTGAAGAGCCTGTCCTTGCACTCACTCTGTAGACCAGGCTGGCCTTGAACTCACAGAGATCCACCTGCCTCTGCCTCTGCCTCCAGAGTGCTGGGACTAAAGGCATGAACCACCAATGCCCGGCCTACGATTGATTTTTAAGGAGGCTGGAGATGCTCAGTAAAGAGTGCTTGCCGGGCGTTGGTGGTGCACGCCTTTAATCCCAACACTCGGGAGGCAGAGGCAGGCGGATCTCTATGAGTTCGAGGCCAGCCTGGTCTACAGAGCGAGTTCCAGGACAGCCTCCAAAACAATACAGAGAAACCCTGTCTCAAAAAAAAAAGAGTGCTTGCTATTCTTTCTCTTTCTATATTTCTAGTGCCAGACAATGTTATTCAGGCGGCCGGAGAAGAAAAGATAGTAATGGTTTCACCAAGCACCAGACCCAGCATACTACACAGCAGCCCAGTACAATAGAGGCATATTGTTATGGAAGTCCCCAACCACTTTCTGATTGGATTTGAGGCCTGGTTCACAGGAGAGAGTTCATGCCAGGTACTATAAACCTGGTCAAAAGACCATGGGTGAAAACACCATAAGCTCTAGAGAAGAACCTACTATTTTTACTTTTGCTAAATGTTTCATGTTGTCAACTGCCTTCTAAATATTTCTATCTATATATGTGTTGCTCTTAACTTAGTCAGAGCTTCTTTCTGTACTAGGCAAGTGGTTAATGAAGAGAGTCATAACTGTCAAAATGCTGAGAACAAGTGACTTGAGTACTGAGCCCTAAATGGGGCATCTTTATCATACTCCCCATGCCCAAGGCTTGAGGAACACTGCAGAAGAGATGGGGAAAAAATGAATGAGCCAGAGGATGGGAAAGAGTGTTGTGAAGTGCAGTCTTCGGGACATAACATGGCTTTTATGGTCGTGAACTCACTACAACTGTGGATAAATGCACATGCCCTAAATAATCAAGGCGGCAAGATCAGTCAGAATCTCATCAGGCAGCACTAATCGGACTCTAGTTACACACACACACACACACACACACACACACACACACACACACTTGTATACATTTATAAAATTGTCAACATATAAAGAAAGAAAGGAAGGTGGGACAGGACATGTTAGGGGACATCAGGGAGTGGAAAAGGGGTCGGTGAGGAGGACAGGATCAAGACAGAGTTTATACATTTATGAAATTGTCAAAGTATAAATCAAAGATTTTAAGTTCACCCTTGACTGCACCTTCTATGTAAAACACAGAATCACAGATGATGCCATCTTTGAGCAGTTTCTCCACAAATCAATGTGAAGAGAAAAGCTGGGAATCCAAGGTGCCTCTTTCTTTTTCTTTTTCTTTTTTTTTTTTTTTTTTTTTTTTTTTGGTTTTTCGAGACAGGGTTTCTCTGTATTGTTTTGGAGGCTGTCCTGGAACTCGCTTTGTAGACCAGGCTGGCCTCGAACTCACAGAGATACGCCTGCCTGCCTCTGCCTCCCGAGTGCCAGGATTAAAGGCGTGCACCACCAACACCCTGCCCAAGGTGTCTTTTTCTAAAAGATATTTGTAATTTATGTCTTCAAAAAGTCTTTGAGGAACAGGGGCTTGGGCATGGCTCAGTTGTTAGAATGTTTGTCTAGCATAGCACACTTGAGGCCCTGAGTGTGATCCCCAACACCACAGGAGCCTGTGCATGGTGGAGCACACTTGTAGGTTCTGAAGTTCAAAATCATCTTCCCCTACTTAGTGGGAATTCATGATTAGTCTAGGCTAGAGACTGTCTCAAAAGAAGCATGGAGCCAGGGCTGAGGGAATTTATTGCTCAGCATTTTATCATTTGCCTAGCCCTGGGTTCAATCTTCCATTGAGAAGGTAAGGAGGGAGGAAAGGAAGGGAGGAGGGAGGGAGAGAAGGAAGGAGGTAGATAGGGGGAAGGGAGGGAGGACATAGGAACTGAATAGAAAAGCTCAGATCTTATGCCTCAGGACTTAGAGGACATAGCTTCCAGAAGGGGTCTCCTGAATCCTCTCACCTTTAGTTTCCCCTCTGAAAAGGAGAATGATCCTGAACCACCTCACAGAGCTGCCTCGATTCGAGGACAAGAGAAGAGTTTGGGCTTGCATCTTTCAGAAAGTTGAAGTGTTGAGTTATTGATAAATGCCAACATGGCAGCCAGAGTGCTCTGCTCTGAAGCAGATCTCAGTTTGTGAAAAATTTTTCTCTCTCTTTTTTTTTTTTTTTTTTTTTTTGGTTTTACGAGACAGGGTTTCTCTGTATTGTTTTTGAGGCTGTCGGTCCAGCCTGGCCTCAAACTCACAGCGATCTGCCTGCCTCTGCCTCCCGAGTGCTGGGATTAAAGACGTGCGCCACCAACACCCGGCCTGGTTTTTATAGACTGTTTTATTGAGGGACTGTAGAGTGCTTGCCTAAAACACTCAAGGTCCTCGGTTCAATCCCCAGCAACCCACCCCACCAACAGAACAGGTTATACTGAGATTAGTGCATGAGAAATGCTTAATAGGATACTAATCCGGAAAGGCCTGCTATCTGTCAACAATGAGCTTGGCCCGCTCTCCACACTGACGCCTTCTGTCTGTGTTTGTTCGCTCTGCTCTTGCACTTCTGCTAGCAATAACCTCTCCCCCAGGCCTTCCACTCTTAGCTTCCGGAGAAAATTGTGTTACCTATCAGTTTCCCCTTCACTCCCGGGTCTTCTCAGCCTCTCCCTCCCACCAGCTCTATGCCAACTGCGTTTAAGCTCTCTCTCGTGCTTTGAAAACACCCTTCCCTTACTCCTCACTCGCTCTCCAGCCTCTCCCTCCCTCCACAGCCACCCTTCTCGAGCTGCCTACACTCTGTCTTCTCACATCCCACTCTTACCTCATCCCACTGATACATTACACCAAACCTTTCCAAGCTGGGACATTATAGATTCCGCCCCGATGTTTCACCACATCTGCTCAGGCAGGCTCCTAGTGACCCCTGGAACTTATGTATTCAGATAGTGCATTCTTACTTTAACTTCTCCTACTTGCCACCTCGGTAGCATCTAGCAAAGCTGGCCTCTGCCTTCTTGTTTTCCTCTTCCAGAATGGTTCTTCCAAAGTGTACAAAGCAGCAAAACTCAGATCTGGGCCCTTTTTAAATCTCTCTCGTTATCATTCAGTATTATTTGTTTTGTTTTGTTTTATTGGGAGGGGGTTGCTGAGACAAGGCCAGGCTGGCCTCAAAGTCCTATCCTCCTGCTTCAGCCTCCTGAGTGTGAGCCACCACAACTGCTCAGCATTGATATTCCACTTCCAGTGTGGTGAGCAGCTTTCACCACCATAAATAAAAATGCCAAGTGTGGCGCACGCCTTTAATCCTACACTCCAGAGGCAGAGGCAGATGAATCTCTAGGGGTTTTAGGCCAGCCTGGCCTACAAAGCAAGTTCCAGGCTAAACAGGGCTACACAGTGAAACACTGTCTCAAAATAAACTAATGAACTTGTGTGTGTATATGTATGTGTTGAAATAAGGTTTCACCTCCAAAGCCACAGAGAAACCCTGTCTCGAAAAACCCAAAAAAAAAAAAAAAAGAAAGAAAGAAAGAAATAAGGTTTCACGAGGCCAGCCTGGCCCTGGATTTGTATATAGAGAGCTTAAAGTCGTGGTCCTCCTGCCTCCACCTCCCAAGTGCTGGGAAGACAGACAGGTGCCACCACGCTGGCTCTGCACTGCCCCTTTACCATTCTCACCATTTCTCCAGACAGAGCTAACTCACACTACTGCCTGACCTCCCAACACACAGCCACTTGTCAGAGGCATAATTTCCACCTAAGCTCCAATCGCCATGACGAGGATCAACTGCCTCGTTACAGTGCTGCAGAGTGCTGGCATCTCATACCTGCTGTGGTTTGCATGTATCACCTAAGGGTTCACGTGCTAAAATTTCATTTCCACTGTGAGGTGGCAGCTGAACAAAGTGGAAACCATCTGAATACAGTGTCTCGGGGTGGGACTTTTGGGAGGGAATCTACACTAGACAAGATCATTAGGTTGGAGTTTTGTAACTGGATAGCAGTACTTTGTGAGAAAAGACCAAGGATGTAGCCCAGAGGCAGAACAGCTGCTTAATATGGGCAAGGGTCTCTTCGACCTCCAGCACCACAAAGAGGAATCCTCAAGTCAGGCTGTGGTGGCGCATGCCTTTAATCCCAACACTCTGGAGGCAGAGGCAGGAGGATCTCTGTGAGTTCGAGGCCAGCCTGGTCTACAGAGCAAGTTCCAGGACAGCCTCCAAAACAATACAGAGAAACCCTGTCTCGAAAAACCAAAACCAAAACAAATAAGCAAAAAAAAAAAAGCAATCCCCGGAAGGCCCCAAAAAATAAAATTCCAACTCACTAAAACTTTACTCCCCCTCCCAAAAGAAAAGTCTGTCAGGAAGAGCAGAATCTTCTCTCTCAAACATCAAATAGAGACTATTTCTACCTTTCAGACTCTCTTCCTACCTATAATTTTTGGGAGATACTCTACAAGTCGGGCTGTCTCCTCAGGACTGTTTTCCTCACACTGGGCAAGTTGCCAGCCTCATCTCCTGGCCAACACAAGGGCAGGCTTCCATATCTCCTTTCAGAGATACCTTCTTGGGTCATCTCCCTGGGACCACCACTCTCTCCCGGGAAGGTCTACAATCGCCCTCTCTGCACTCAGTTTCCTGTATGTGCTAAACCGTAGCTCGAATTATACCAAGTTCCCGTCCACAGGTCAGTTTCCTATGGGCCGGAGTGGCGCTCCCTAAGGGCAGGACGTCTCATTCACTTTTTTTTCCCTTTTTTAAACCGCTGGCGATCAGCCCAGGCCCTGGTTCTCAATAAATCCTCAATGATGTTCCTCGTAGCAACAGCAACAAGGAAAGCTCCCACGTATCGAGGATTTTACATATAAATACACTCTGTGATCATGTTATAAGACAGGTGTTATCATTACCCCCATTGTGCAGGTGAGAAAACTGACGCAGGAATAAGTCCAATCTCGACGGCCCCCCGGGGAGCGCCACACGCAGACGCTCTCTTCAGTTCCTAGTTACTCGACGACCAACCCTCATAGAAAAGGAAACTCTAAAAAAAAAATGTTATTTAGAAAGAAAACTTTCCAATGAGCCTCAAGAGACGCGTAAGAATAACAGCCGAAAGCGCACCCACCCGAACCCGGCCGAGGTCAGAAGGCTTCGCCGCGGGCTCCCGGGCCCAGGGGACAAAGTGCAGCCCTCCGTCCTTGCCCCGCGTCCTCGCGGTCCGTCCCTCGCCGGTCGCCTGGCGGACCGCTCCTCTCCTCTCCTCTCCTCTCCTCTCCGAGCCGCGCCCGCCCGCTCTGCCGCCGCTTACCTGCCTCCTCGTCGCCTCGCGGAGCCCCGGCCGCCGGCGCGAGCGCCTCCCCGGGGCCGCCTGGCGCCCGCTACCCGCCGCCGAGCCGTTGCCTAGGCGACGCGGCAGCTGAACTCCCGCGTCGCTCGCGCTACGGCGGCCCGGAAGGGACGCACCGGGGTGGGGGAGCGCTCGGCAACCACGAGGAGTGGGTGGAGGAAGGAGAGCTGTCTGTCCTGAGAATGAGACCTTAGCTCCCCCAGAGAGATGGCCCCAGGAAAGATGGGCGTGGAGAACAGCGAGGCTCTAGGGGAGAGCTTGTACTCGGACGCTGTTTGTATCTCTGTTCATCTTTGGCACTCTAAAGGCGGCCGTATGTGGAGTGGAGGGGCCCTTTGTCCCTACTTTGCTAGGTTAGTAATAAACTGAAATTTGCTTGTTTTTTAGTTTGCCTTTGGTTGGTTGATTTGTGGTTTCGATTTTCCTTTTCTTCGTTTCTTATTTTGCTTTCTTTTTTCTTTTTCGAGACAAGGGTTCCTGTGTCCCAGCCCTGCCTTCAACTCACTGTGTACCTCAAAATGACGTTGAGCCCTACCTCTAACTCCCAACTTTTTTATTGGTGCAAGAAGTGGAACTTGGGGCCTTCTCGCTTGCTTGGCAAGTGCTCTACCACCGAGCTACACGCCCAGCTCCTTGACTGGAAATAAAGACTAGAAAATGGATGTGGAGTGACAGATTTCTCTATTATGATCTCTGATGTGACAAATAGTGAATAGAGTTGGTTGGGAGGGTGAGAATTTTTTTTTTGTTTTTTCGAGAGAAGGTTTCTCTGTGGCTTTGGAGGCTGTCCTGAACTAGGTCTTGTAGACCTGGCTGGTCTTGAACTCACAGAGATTCACCTGCCTCTGCCTCCTGAGTGCTGGGATTAAAGGCATGCACCACCAACACCCAGCTGGGAGGTGAGAATTTGATTAGAATTAATTTCATCCTGGGAAATAAATAACCTGTAATCAGCAATTATACTTCCTGGAAAAATCTGCAGAATTTCAAGACCCTAAGCACAAAAGATGTTCTTAACTATTGTGGGGTTCCAATCCACTGAGAAAGACCAAAGACTTAGACTCAATTCAAATTTAGGGTAAATGAATTTATTTTTACTGCTAACAGACAACAGCCTTATAGTCAAATCAGGAGCTTGTTGTGCCAGAGGGGTCTACGGAAGGGTTTATAAAGGTGAACATCAAAGGTGGGCATCACAGTTATCTGTGCTCTATGGAATCCACAGCTGGACGAGAAAGGCTTCACTCCCCTCAGATGTTTCTCATCCCCATTGTAGGAAGCAGTAAAACCATATTTCTTCTTATCTCACGGGGCTAACACCTGCAGGCCACTGGGATCTCACAGGCATTTCAGGACAAAGGTAAGCAGCAATTAGAGGTGCCTAGTACTGGGTTGAACTCCTTAGCCACCACAGGGGAGTCATGCAAAACCAGACCACTTTGGAAACTGGAAAGGAGAGTAGAGTTGTTCTTGGCAAGCAATAACAGTGCCATCAGGTTAGGGCTGGCTATCACAAACTCCATTGTTATTAAAAGCAAGAGTTGAGACTAAATGTGCATTGCTAGGATATTGAACAATAAATGGTTGTACATCCATAAAAAAGAATTAAGAGAATCAGACTAGGTATGGCAGTTCACAACTGTAATCCCAACACTGGGGAGGCTGAGGTAAGACGATCACTGAGAGTACAGGACAAGTCTAGGCTCTAGAGAGAGTTCCACCACTATCAGGGTTAGAGAGAGATCCTGGCTCAAAAGTCCAAACTCTGCCTAAAATAATAGGATCCAAAGGAGCTACAGCTCTGGGCACAGTTTATGTGTAGACTTACCTGTCTTTAAGCTGGGGATGTAATAGGATCTCCTGATCCCTCAACTAGTTCCATTCTTGATTCTACTTTTTTTTGGGGGGGGGTTGTAACGTGTATTCTTTTCTGCCAGCTGCCTGGGTCCCACCACTGTCTCAGCCCCCAAATAACACACAAGACACTATATTAATTATGAAGCTGTTGGCCACTTGCTATGGTTTCTTATTGGCTAGCTCTGACTAACTTATAATTACACACACACACACACACATATATATATTGGGGGGTTTCTCTGTATTGTTTTGGAGGCTGTCCTGGAACTCGCTCTGTAGACCAGACTGTCACGTCTGCTGCGTGGCCTGTGTCCGAGAACGTGCGGAGGGTGTCGGGGATTGACAACACAGAGACTTGTTCAACGATATAAAGAAAACTTTAAACAGGCTCCAAAAAGGTTCAAGAAAACCTCCTAAGAAAAGCTCCCACCAGAGAAGCTTCTGCTCTCTCCTCTACCCTGGCTGGTTCTCTCTCTGACACCAGAGGTGGATGTGTGTGGGTTTTGAAGGTGCGATTAGTCTTTGGACAAGGTCGAGGTCAGGGCGGTTTCCGTGGGAAGGCCTTTTCCAGGAACTTATTGCCCCGGGCATTGTATCGTTTTTACTAGACATTGTCTTACAGCTGCCTACTCCTAGGCAGAAGGGGAAGTGGGTCTCTGCTCAAGGTCTGGTGTTCCCACACCAGACTGGCCTCGAACTCACAGAGATCCGCCTGCCTCTGCCTCTCGAGTGCTGGGATTAAAGGTGTGTGCCACCACCGCCAGGCTAATACGTATTTTTTTTTTTTTTTGATTTTTCGAGACAGGGTTTCTCTGTGGTTTTGGAGGCTGTCCTGGAACTCGCTTGGTAGTCCAGGCTGGTCTCGAACTCACAGAGATCCGCCTGCCTCTGCCTCCCGAGTGCTGGGATTAAAGGCGTGCGCCACCAACGCCCGGCTGCTAATACGTATTTTTATAAGGTCTTGTTTTACCAAGGATGCAGTGTCATGCTTCCTCTCTTCCCAGGATCACATGGTGACTCTATTCCTGACTACATTTCCCTGAATCATCCTTTACACCTAGTCCCACCTGTCTTGCTTCCCTATTGGCCAACAGTGCTTTATTTATTAACCAATAGGACAACTTCCCCCATCAAGGGGTGATGAGGGAACATGGTCTTTATATAGCCCTCACTACTTGGGAACTTTATATGTAGACTAGGCTGTCCTGAAACTGACAGAGATCTACCTGCCTCTGCTTTTGCCTCTGCCTCTGCCTCTGCCTCTAGAGTTGTGGTCTATGCTACCACACCCAACCTCATTCCCAGCCACCGGAAGAGTTCTTCTCAGAGACCTCTACTCAGGTGAAGCCAGGATTCTTGGGTTTACAGAAAAGAATTTCAGAAGCCAATATGAAGCATAGTTGGAATTTATTAGGAAGAGGTTTTTGTTATTGTTGTTTTGCTGTTTGGTTGGTTGGTTGGTTTTTCGAGACAGGCTTTCCCTGTGTAGCCTTGGTTGTCCTGGAACTCCATCTGTAGACCAGGCTTACCTTGAACTCACAGATATCCACCTGTCTCTGCCTCTGGAGTGCTGGGACTAAAGGCATCACTGCCTAACAAGAAGAAATGTTAACATTAATTTAAGCATGGGGGTTAATAGAGGCACCAGAGGAAAGGATAGGTGTGGATGTGGGCTCCCCAGCAATAGTCATCATAAAAGACCTGAAATAATCAGGCTGAATACCCCATGACATCCCGAGCTCAATAACCAGACAGTTGGATGCAAACCGCAAGAAGTTTATTGTTTACACAGGCGTCTGTGGGTGTTTCATCAGCCTTAGCTAGCTGAGTGTGCCGGGGTTTAGGACAGTTTCTGTAAGAAGTGGAGCCGCTGCAGGTGCAGATCTGGGCAAGCAATAGGGGTATTGTTAGAATGCAGGCATAACTCATCCTTCCTGGAGAAGCCACAAGGTCAAAATTAAACTTATCTTAACAGCCTGCCGGTGTCCTGCATCAGCACTCTGGACCAGATGTTCTTTTCAATCTGACCTTGTTCCCTGTCCAGGGGACCTTGGGGAATTTTCCACTGAGGCGACCTTCTGAGTCTCAAAAAGGGGGGAGGGGTGTATTGAGGTCTTTCAATCCCATTTGAGTGACTGAACTGTAACTCTACAAACAATTTTAGTGGCTTCTGAAGTTACATCTTCCCAAGGTTGTTAAGGAATCTTTTTTCTTTTTTTCTTTATAAGTGAGATAAGGTGGCTCCAAAGGTGTCTTTGGATAGGCTTGCAATCTGATTAAGTAAAGCCATGGGTCACAAAGGTTGCTCAAGGCAGGTAGGACATGCCTTCTACTCTTCTCTTTTTGTTGTTGTTGTTGTTGTTGGGGGGGGGGGTTCGAGACAGTGTTTCTCTGTATTGTTTTGGAGGCTGTCCTGGAACTTGCTCTGTAGACCAGGCTGGTCTTGAACTCACAGAAATCTGCCTGCCTCTGCCTCCCGAGTGCTGGGATTAAAAGCATGTGCCACCAATGCCTGGCACCTTCTTTTTGAGAGTCCTAGGAAATTGCAGGCTATAACTGGGAAAGAAAAAGGCTACATCCAAAGGTATATACCTTAGAACTTGAGCATGATCCATTGCTAGTTTAAAATTATTATTTGAAGCATCTCTATATAAAAGGAATAGTGTCTCTAGATAGGCAGTCTTTACAACAGATGTCAGTTGTGCTGGAGGATATTTGTTTTTGTTTTTGTTTTGAGACAGGCTCCCGCAGGTGGATCAGAAAATGGCTGCACTTCCCACAATTGTTTGTCATCCCTATTGTATAGACATAAAAAGACCATCTCATCCCAGTCCCAGAGCCTTAAGTGGCTTTACAAAAGCCAGAGCAAAGTGGCTACTTACTTCACAACAACACCATTTTTCTTCTTATCTAATGCCTGCAGGCCACTAGGATCTCACAGGCATTTCAGGACAAAGGTCAACAGCTATCAGAGGTGGCTAGTACTGGGTTAAGTTCCTTCACCATCACAGGGAAGTCCTGTCTAACTTATCAGTCAAACCAGACCACCCAGGGAAAACAGAAAAGGTTAGTAATGACTGGGATAGAGTGGTTTCTTCCTAGGCGTGCAATAACATAGTGATCAGGTTAGGACTGACTGTTACATTCCCACTGAAGTGCTAACTTTCAAACCTGACAAAACACTGTAAAACAACATATTTTATTGGGAGGTATAGCTGAGTGTTGTTACAAGTGACCTAAGAACTCTCATTTGGAGAAAGCTTTGGGATGAGAAAGATTAGAGACCCTTAAAAGCACTGACTCCAGCAGGGCATTGGTGGCCCACGCCTTTAATCCCAGCACTCGGAGGCAGAGGCAGGCAGATCTCTGTGAGTTCGAGGCCAGGCTGGACCGACAGCCTCCAAAACAATACAGAGAAACCCTGTCTGGTAAAAAAAAAAAAAAAAAAAGAAAAGAAAAGATGGGCTGAGGAGATAGCTTAGTTGGTAGAGTACTTATCTTCAAAGCTCCAGAACCTGAGTTCCGATCTGCCACAGCCATGTAAAAAGCTGAGTGGTGAGCCATTTGCTTACAATCCCAGTGCAGAGGAGACAGATGGGCATCTCTGTGGCTTGAAGGCCATCAGCCTAGCCCAACTGGTGAGCCCCCAATCCCAGTAACAGACCCTGTCTCAAAAAACAAGATGGATGGCTCATGAGAAATCACAACCAAGAAATGCCAAGTCTGTAGATACATGCACACACATAAACAAATTTGAAACCTATTTAGAAAAACAAAGACTTGAAAGCAGAAGGGGTTGCTGGGC